CTCGAAGGCGCGCAGCTGCTCGTGGTCGAAGGCGCGCTGCGCGAACATCACGCCGCTCTGTGCGCTCACGGACACGTAGGACGACAGCGCGCGCGACTCCAGGTCGCTGGCCAGGATGGAATAGGAGACGTGGCCGTTGGGCCCCAGGTCGGGGTCGGAGGCGCTGACTTGCGCGATGGAGGCTCCAGGCAGGTTGTTCTCGGCCACGTAGGAGGCCTGGTGGAAAACCGGAGTGCTGTCATTAACGTCGCTGATGTGTAGAGTGACACTTGCGCTGGAGGAGAGTAGCTGCTTGCCCCTGTCGGTGTCTGCGATGGTGACTGTGTACTCTAGGGTCTGCTCCCGGTCCAGGGCCCCATCTGCCACAAGCTTGTAGTAATTATTGGCGGAAGATTCAATTCTAAAAGGAGCTCTCTCTTTTATGAGACATGTGACCTCCCCGTTTTCTCCCGAATTTTTGTCATATGTTGCGGACAAAGCAATCACAGTTCCTGGTTCTGCAACCTTGGTTATGGAACTAGACACCGAAGGGAAAACCACCTCTGGGCCACTGTCGTTCTCATCTAAAATTTTCAGTATAATTTTACACTCGGTGGCTATGCTTCCACCGTCCTGGCCTCTATGCTTATAGTATAACTGCTACTGCTTTCAAAGTCTATAGGGCCTTTGGATTTAATTTCTCCTCTTTGATGATCTAGCACAAACATATTTGCAATATCTCATAGTGTTTTGAAGGAGTAGGTGATCTCTGCACTGATGCCTTCATCCTGGTCAGTGGCCTTCACCTTTAGCACCAAGGTGCCTGGGGGCGAGTTCTCACGCAGGCTAACTTTGTACACATCCTGACTGAACACTGGGGGGTTATCGTTGGCATCAGTGACCTTGATCCTGAATTGAGTTTGCCAGTTCAGACCGGATCACCCCCGTCCACTGCTGTCAGGACCAGGAAGTGAGAGCTCTGTTGTCCCTGGTTCAAAGGCTTCTCCAGCACTAATTCTGGGGAATTCTTGCCTTCAGTCTTACCCTCAACCATCAGAGAGAAATGCTCCCTATAGCTGAGTTGGTACCTCTGCAGAGAGTTAAGCCCTATATCTGCATCTATAGTTGATTCCAGGCCAAACCGCGTTCCTGGAATTGCAAGTTCATTGATTTGTAAAACAATGCTATTTTGGGGAAAATGAGGTGGATTGTCATTTATATCTTCTATCATCACGTTTACGTGAGAAACATTTAGAGGATTCTCTGCTACAATTTCTAAAGGCACGACACACAGAGGGTTTTGGGGGCAGGGTGACTCCCAATCTATTCTGTCACTCACAAGTACTTTCCCATTCTCCATGTTTACAGTAAAGTATTGTTTCTCTGCACTAACTCTGAGGTTGCGGGTCAATAAATCCCGTAGATGCAGCCCCACGTCAGCGAGATTCCACACCACAAAGCCTCTGTCCATTTCTTCTGGAATAGAACAGCGGATCTGTTCGGAGAGTGCCCCGCATAACAAAGGCATCAAGAAAGGGAAGATTACTTGCCCCCGCTGGGTACCGCTCCTCTGCTTCCCCTTATTTCCCATCCTTCTGTGCATGCTGCAGGCTCCAACGTTAAGAAAAGATGATTTATAAATTTCGTTTAAAATACCTACATCGACTACATAGAAAACTCAATGCTCCCAGTTTGAACACATCCCAATCTGTATTCTGGAATCAGATTTGCCAAGTAGAGAGCCTGAGTCCAGGCTACTCTCCTTTCCGACTTGCTTCTGTGACTACACAAGAAATCACTGGGGTAGACACTGGACGCTAGCTCTTGCAGCGCATTGGCCAACAGCGGCCCTTGGAGCCTATTTAGAAAACTGCAGTCAGAAGCCTTGTAAATAATGGGATTTGGTATTCCAACAGATATGTTGAACTGATGTATATAGGGAATGAGGCAGTTTAGGAGTTTTGGATAGGTCTGTTTTCCAGTGTTTACTACCAAAGAGGGTTCCTTAGAGACGGGATCCTATAGAAGAGCCATTAACCTAGTAATGAGAAAAGCTTGTCATTTTCTCATTAGAGGCAAGGCACATATTGGAAGAACAAGGCAAAGTCTCCTCTCCAGATTTAGAACAAAGACCACGTGGAAAAAGAGCCCCACCATGTGGTATGAGGAAATTTTGACAGCCATGAAATGACACCCAGTATTATCTTCAATCTGATATGGGTATGATTTTCCTCCTCCTTTCATCAGAGGAAACTGGAGGAGAGATCAAAGCTGTATAGGTTTTACTCAGGATAAGGATAGCCAATACCATAAATTCTTCTTGTTACTTATAAAAGAGATTTATGAAAAGGATTATGAAGTGTTTTACACTTTCATCATAAAGAGAATATAAAAGCATACCCTAGTAGGTTACTATAGGAATTTAATGACGTGAAATGGGAGGGTTTTATTTTTATCCTTTTATTTAACTGTACCATACGTTGCCTCTCAACAGAACTTTATCACTACCGCTAATCAAAACAACCTTCTTAATCTCAAGTGTCAAAACCAACATTTCCTTTTTATTCTCTAAGATCTTGGTTGCCAACTCCTAACAAGTTCAGACTATGTTAAAAAAAATATGAAACAACCTCCCTCTTCCAGCAAACACCTCATATTCTTTTTATTCATCTAATTTCAGTTCAAGTAAAAGGCCTTAAATCTTTTTTCTCAGTTTGGAATCCCATAAGCATAAATTCTATCCCTAGATGCTCAAAACACTAACATCTTTCTTGATTTCAAGACAACTTTAGGCATCTGTTGCAGGACTTCCCTTTCCTACAGTTGAAATTCTTTTTGTCCAAACATTAGATACTCAATTTTTAGTTAACTATAGTAAGGTCAATTCTGAAATGAGAAGGGATATCTTGAAAGGGAACATGAACATGCAAGTAATTTGCACCAAATATCTAGAAGTGGTGTGAGAGTGCTGAGCTGAATTGACTGTGGAGATGATTCCTGAGATCAATACCCCAGATAAGTTTCCTTCCCCCCCTTGACTTTCCTAAACATTGCTGCAGATAACACATTATTAGGTAACTATCAGGGCTTCAATAACAAGTTGGTTCTGAATATAAGAATCGAGTATACTTATATTTTAAAAATGAGTTTACATGAAACTAACACAACATTGTAAATCAACTGTACTTCAATGTTTAAAATGAGTTTACACACAGATTTAGAGAATAGACTTGTGGTCGCAAAGGGGAAGAAGGGGTGGAGGAGGGAAGGATTGGTATTTTGGGATTAGCAGATGCAAACTATTATATGGATGGATGGATAAACAACAAGGCCCTGCTGTAGAGCACAGGGAGCTATATTCAATATCCTGTGATCAACCACAACAGGAACAAACATGAAGAAGATGATATACATGTATAGCAGAATCACTTTTCCGTGTAGCAGAAATTAACACAACATGGTAAATCAACCACAATAAAATTTTAAAAAATGAGTTTACAAAGGAAATGAAAAAAGGGAATCCAAGACTCCTAAGCATAGTGAAAACAAACAAAGATATCCAGAGGAATACCAGCTCAGTCAGTCTCATGGATTCTAAGTATCCACTCCACCTCTTATATTCACAAACTGTTCCATACAAATAAATCTGAAAAATGGAAGCATGTCCAGCAGATTTGAAAATAACTTTTTGAGAAGGACTGGATCAAAATTAAAAGCTATTTCTGTAGGAGAATTTACTACATTAAAAAAAAAAACCTGCAACAGGAGAGGCTACAGCAGTGAGAGGCCCGTGTTCCTCAAAAAACGAAAAAAAACCTTCAACAATACACAGACGCTAAAGTACAAGTAAAAGAATAAAAGAAAAACACCAGTTCTACAATTCAACTATTTCTTCAGAACAATCTAATGACTTCACTGTAGAAGTAGAAAAGATGTCTAGAACTTAAGACGAAAAAGTGTGCTCTATATTTCCACTCCCAAGAGACCCTCATATCTAAAAGGTAGTCAGTAGGCCTTGTTTTGGTGGGGTAAATAAATGAGACAAAATTGAAATAATCAACAGGATCTAAATGTATTACCAGCCACCAAAAATCAAAACAGAATTGTTTTGTGCTCAGAGAGAAGCGTATGTGTGTAAAAGTGTATATGTGTGAATGTGTGTGCATATGTATTATAGAAAAAGAGCTAGAGTAAGTAGGCTATTGAATCAACAGGCTCAAATGTGAACATTAGAAGTAAAACAAATAATGGTAGAATGTAATTATAGATCAGTGGAGGCAATAAGAGGTCGAATTGATGTTTATGAATCATTAATTTGAATCATAACCAGTTTACATTGATAGTCAGACACTGGTGATAGAAAAATATTACTAAAATTCAACTTACAACAAAGCAAGCCATGATAACTGAACTGGACCTTTGAATTAAAACAAAGAAACAAACAAAAGAAGCTGACAAGACCCAAAAAAAAGCCTTTCACAAAACCTTTCTGAAAATTGATGAAAGGTAAATTACAGAAACTCACGTTTCGCTTTAAATATATAAGAACATATGCTCCACCCCAAACAGTTTTTATAACAGGCTCGGAAAAAAGTAACTTAAAAGACCTGTGCAGAGATATCAACAGTTGGGAGGCAGGAAATAAATCTCACCTGATTACTGGTAGGATCACATTTGCCTAAACCGGTAGCTGAATCTTCAGCTATCAAAAGAGGCTCGCTTTTCTCACAGCTCTCCTGGCTGAGGAGCGTGTCCGCGTAGTTGGGCTGCGGGAAGATCACGTGACTCCCCCGCGAGTCCGCGGTGAGCCAGGCCTCGTGGGAATAGGCCTGCAGGAAAGCCCGCACCCCGTCCACGCCCACAAAGTGAGAGGCGGGCACACCCGCTAACCCGCCTTCTGAAGCCTGGAACAGGCGCGACGTGTGCCAGCGCCTCAGCCTGAGCGCCAGCAGCACAATGACAAAGGCGAGGAAGACGCAGGAGACCGCAGCCACCGCCACCACCAGGTAGAGTGTGAGGCCTGAGTCGTCGGGGCTGGCGGAAGATTCAGGGCTGCCTAGATCAGCCAGGACGTCAGGGATGCTCTCGGCCACGGCCACAGTGAGTGTGACGGTGGCAGAGAGAGGGGGCTGGCCGTGGTCCTGGACCGCCACCACCAAGCTCTGCTTGAGCGCGTCTCTGTCCAGCAGGGCCCGCGCTGTGCGCACCTCGCCCGTGTGCAGCCCCACCGTGAAGAGACCTGGATCGCTGGCCTTGAGCAGGCGGTAGGACAGCCAGGCGTTCTGGCCTGAGTCTCTGTCCACAGCCACCACCTTGGTCACCAGGTAGCCGGGCTCTGCGGAGCGGGGTGCCAGCTCCACGCCCATGGAGCCATCTGTGGGGACAGCAGGGTACAGGATCTCGGGTGCGTTGTCATTCTGGTCCAGCACGAATATGCTCAGTGACACGTTGCTGCTGAGCGGTGGGTTCCCACTGTCATGTGCTGTCACCCACAACTGCAGTTCATGGAATTGCTCATAGTCGAAAGAGCGCAGTGCATACAGAATGCCGGTGTCTGAGTTTATGGAGATGTAGGAGGATAGAGGTGCTCCCTGGAGGGTATCCTTTGCCAGAGAATAAGTGACCCGGGCATTCTCTTTGCTGTCCCTGTCGAGTGCAGTCACCGAGAAGAAGGAGGCCCCTCTAGGATTGTTTTCAGGAATGTAGGCAGAGTAAGAGGAGTGAGCAAAAGTGGGCGGGTTATCGTTGTCATCTGCTACATTCAGTGAAATATGAGTTTCTGTAGACAAGGGTGGACTTCCCCGATCTGTGGCTGTCAATGTTATATTATAGCTCTGTACCTGCTCCCTGTCCAGTGCTCTGTTTGTTATCAACTTGTAATAATTTCCATAAGTCTTTTCTAATTTAAAAGGCATATTGTTAGGAATGAAACAGGAGACTTGACCATTTTCTCCGGAGTCTTGATCTTGCACATTTAGAAGAGCAATCACAGTACCTGGAGGAGAGTTTTCCAGCACTGAATTCATAGAAGATGTGATAGTTATTTCTGGAGCATTATCATTCACATCCACAACTGTGACCAACATCTTAGCAGTGGTGGAGAGACCTCCACCATCTTGGCCTTGAATTTCCATCTCATAGAATCTGTATTTCTCAAAATCCAGAGAACCTTGTATTAAGACTTCTCCAGATTGAGAATCCAACTGGAATATCTCAGAAGCTTTGCTTTCCATATTCAGGAATGAATATACCACTTCCCCATTGATTCCCTCATCTGGATCAGTTGCGTTTACCATAAGCACCCGAGTTCCGGAGCTGAGGTTCTCAGGAACACTCACTCCATATACAGACTGTGTAAACTTTGGGATATGGTCATTTACATCGAGAACCACCACGCGGATGGAAACAGTGCCCTGGCGGATGGGATCTCCTCCATCTAAGGCTGTGAGGAGGAGATGGTGAGCAGCCTCTTTTTCCCGGTCCAGGCTCCCCTCCAGCACTAGCTCAGGATTCTTGGCCCCATCCGTTGTGCCTCGCACTTGCAAAGAAAAGTAATTATTAGGGTTGAGCTGGTAGCGCTGGAGGGAGTTCATTCCCACATCTGGATCCCTAGCATTAGGAAGAGGAAATCGCGATCCCGGAGTTGCATGCTCACTGACTTTTATCTCTACTTCCTCCTCCCGGAAGCTGGGGGCGTTATCATTAATATCCATTATTTCCACCTCCACTCCGTAAATCTTAAGGGTATCTTCCACAAGTATCTCCAGGTTTAAAAAACAGGAGGAAACCGCCTCACAGAGCTCCTCCCGGTCTATCCTATCAGCAGTGATCAAGCTGCCACTTCGCGGATTCAGAGCGAAAAGCTGAGTCTTTCCTCTGGAGACGATGCGGACTCCGCGCTCCGCCAGCTCCCTGGGCTCCAGCCCCAGGTCCTTGGAAATATTGCCCACGAAGAAGCCTTTGTCTGTCTCTTCCAGCACCGAGTATCGGATCTGCCCAGCCCCAGACTCCCGCAGCGTCCCCAGGAAAATATACAGTAGGACCAGCCCGCTGCGGTCCAGGAGCAGTTGCCGATTCGCCATGGCAGTGGCTGAGCCTATATTCCGCGGTTTCTTGAGCTGTTTGGTTCTAAGATGCAGCTTATGCATCTACACAGTCACTCGCCAAGTACATCCAAAATATATTAGAGAGCGAAGAGAAGTACTTTTAAGTTTCCAGCATCACGATCTGTGAGTATCCACTTCACTCTGCTTTGTGTTGTAGAGGTAGGGGAGGGAGGGACTCTAGCTCGCAGCTTCCCGTTTCCCTAATTGGTGAACAGCGGCGCCTAGAGCCCAATCTTATTATTGCAACGAGAAAGAAAAACTCAACTAATGTTGCTGTTCCTGAAGTTATCACACTTACCTCTTTGAGAATCACAAGTATTTGTAAAGCTTAAAATTGCAGACAATAAAGTATTATGTAATGGGATGTTAAAGGTTTACCAAGAGCACTTATGAAAAGAGTGATTATTTAAAAGGCTTGCTAATTAAAAAAAATTCAAATACTACTGGAACTGAAAACTTGCAGGTTAGATTTGGTTCCTCCTGATTTTTACTGACTGAAGGGAACAGCATTTGTGGTTGTGTAACTAGCACGGTTCCAACAAAATCAACAGTTAGGATTATGACTATAATTCTTACCAATGTTTATTGAGTAAAATAAAGATAAAATGTTTGAGAAAATTTGGATGGCATTAGGGTTGTCATTTAAAATACCACAATATAAATATATAACTGTATTCCATATCCTTAATTAAAAGGTGTTCTATTTCATGAAAAACTGACCTGAGAGTGCTCTATATATTTTACCTTAAAATGCACTTGAGTGGTAGAGGGAATGCAGCATTGTAAACTTTAGTCTTAATAGTAATACCCATAGGTTTGAATTAGATTTTAGGAACTTCATCAAGAGAGGGAATCTAGAAACTCGAAATAACAGTGCTATATTAGAATATATTGGCACATTGGAATATAAAAAGCATGGTTTTAAATACTTACGTGTTTAAAAGCGTTCTTATCCGCTTCAACACTAAGAGTTAAAACACTAGCCAATAGCACTGAAGAGCTATCTTTGTTGAGAATATCTTGTGTGGCAGGACAATGTTCAACAGATGTGAGAAAATTAAATTCCGGATTAGTTTGATTCCCAGGCACACGTAAATTATCGGCATAGGGCAATGTTCCATCACTGTAGTTGGGAGGAATCTCAGGACCAGACTTGGAGCAGAGAACAGACCCACAACAGCCCCCACCAGCGCTGGGGCTGGAAGAGCATCGAAGGCGCAGGGCAATGGCTAGAATCACCACGAGGAGGAAGAGCACCGAGATCAAGGCCAAGGCCACCACCAGGTAAAA